AAGCGATCTCGCGATTAGCTCGAAAATTTTCCTCGAGCGAAGACTCACTCGCAAAGGAAGAACGGTAATGACAAGACGTCCCGTATAATACCAGTGTGCGCGTATCCACGATGTATTTGTGGCACGCTCCATCATCAGACACATCAGGCAGAACCGTTTGAAGTCGATGTTTGACGACGTTGGAAGGAAGAGGGAAGTGAGAGACTGGAAGAACGCGGATTCGCGGAGCGGAGGAGTAACGCGGACGATCGGTGGAAAGTTTTCGCGTGACAGAGCGCAGTCAATAGCGAGAACAAAACACGCGCATACACATAAGAACTGTTTTTCTGTATATAGCTCAAGTATGGTACACACTTTTAAGATAGTTTTACAGTAGAGAGAGAGAAAGAGAATACCGAAAATTTCGGACGCCTCACGAGGTCCAAAATCACAAATATATCTGCATAATTTGGATAAAATATTAAAATATTAAAAACTACGTGTATATTTTAATGAAATAAACGATATTTAGTATGCGAAAGTAATGAAATAAGAAGTTGATTTCTCGTACAATTTGTTCTCGTAAAAATTCAATATTAAATATCTTTTCAGAGAGTTGATTTATTACTTTTTTATGATCATTACGTAATTTTTTCATGTAGAATTTTGCACACGTCAAGTTCGATACTTCAAATTCATTATATTAAAAAATAAGAGATTTCTATGGTAACTCGATGTACTTACCACCACCTTAAGGTGAGATAGGTACACGGAGAGAACTTTCTTTTAAAATTTGCTCTGAAAATATGGTAGTAGTGGTACAATACAATATTTTAAAGATTTTTACCATGCACTTCAGTAAAATTGATCAAACTTATTTTATACTTTATTATAGTTTTATTAATGAGATTTACATTAAAATTCTTCGAAATATAATATTGTCACGACTATCATATTTTCAGGGTAAACTCTAAGAAAAAATTCTCTCGGTGTATATACGTTTGATATATTTAGCGAAAGCTAAATTGAAAGAGAGTTGTAGGAATGAAATCAGATCTGTACAGTACATACACATGTATATCTGCATCGAAACTTTGAACTTTATTTTTCATAATTAAGACTTGTCGGGTATGCGAGCCCGGCGATCACAACGAGATATAGTTTCCATAATGCACGAGTCTTTTAACGACGAACTTAGAAAAGAAGGATTGCGCTCACTCGTAGAAAAAAAAAAAGAGAGAGGAAAAAAGAGAACGAAATGACTAACGTAACTCTCCCACGCACGCTCTCGCTCGTACTCACGCACTCTCGCACGCACACATGCATCTTTGTCCGGAACTATGGAATCCTGACGCAATTCGTTCGCTCCGCTCGCAATAGGTACGCACGGTGTTGTACTAATTGCTAGCTTATCTAATTAGTCGGATAAGGCGGCAAACCGTCGTTCGAGAGCGACGCGAAGCCACGAAACGATCCTCGTTTCTTCGCCCCCGGTGTCGCGCTACATACAAGCGTGTCGTTTTATTGCGTCATTCGTATGTGCCGCGACCGCGTTTCACGCCAACGTCTACAATAAAATCCCGGACGCTGCAGCTGTGACGTCACTCGCGCGCTCCCGGGAATAATCGAGGGCTCCTTTGAATTGATTGCGAGGTTTCGGAATAAAACGTCGAGCGACGAAAAATTAATAATCAGCTGCAGTAGCGACAGCGAGGAATAATCCTCTTTAATCATTCTCGAGTGACGTAACACAGCTGTAGAAATTCTCGTATTACACCAAGAGAAAAATGTACTAAATTTTAGTGAAGATTTGTTCGAACAGTGCCAGTTGAATGTTTACTAAACATATATTTATACGAGAATTGATTTATTTTTTATTTAGCGAATATTTATTTTCCGTAAATAAATGTTATATTAGTACTATTCAATTATTTATTAAAATTTAGTACATCTTTCTCTCAATGTACGGATGGATTTCTGTCTCTCATGTCTCCACTCTCGTGAAATGAATCACGCGACAATGGAGCAACATTTCGTGTAACGCAGGCGAGCTTGTACGTGCGAATACCATGTATGTAACATCAACAGCGTGTCTCTCTTCTAGCGATCGATAGCGATAAGTAGCTATGCACTAAAACATGCACAGAGAAAGGGATATAAAGCTAAACGTTATCTATTATACACATCCACGTTAACGCGCCGGTCCTTATTTCCTCCCTCGTCTGTTTTTTTTTCCCTTTTTCTTTTTCTTCCGGAAATTCTCCGCAACGCGGATATTACCTAAATCTTTGACATTCTTGCGTCTCTTCGTTAATACTTCAGCGCATTTATTTTAAACGATACAACGAAATCCCATAGAGATTTCTCTTTACCTCATAAGTCTTTTAATTCCGCTAATGAATTTCAAAATCGCTCTATCCTCGACATACAATTTCACAAATAGACACAGTTCCACTAGCTGGGCTACGGAATTTCTGTTTACACAATGAATATCAAGCCCGATTCTCACGATACGTCTTCGTCGACGTAAACGTTTTTACTTTATGTAAAGCTTCCAACCCTTTTTGTTTATTTCCGTTTTTCGTCGAACGGACGACAGTATCTTTAGGATTAAAGATGCAGCTGTCGGGAACTAAACCGAGCCTAAGCTAAGCTATCAATGATCTCGCCTCGCATCGATCGACTGGTCCGCTCGTTGCGCTCTTCATGAAAAAATAAATGAGATCATTGTCTCTCTCCTCCTCTCGTGACGATTGTTCCCTTAATACTTCCGCCACGCAAAGGCATCGTTAATCGTTGATCGGCCGCGAATACGCGGTTTATATCCGTTTCCATCAATGTGAATTAATCTCGACTTAATCTCAATTTACTCTTTATCTTTTTCTAGTTCTAAGAACTAGAAAAAGACTAAGAGTAGGTTGAACCGAGATTAAAATTAATCTACATATCGATAGAAACGGGCATTGCTCGCTCAAAGTGGACTATCAGGATTGTCACAAATTCCTTATCCTCCATTTCAGAAAAATCTGCAAAATTCCCAGACTGATTTTTCTGATCGTTTTCAATTTCCCTGACATTTCCCTGATTTCCAGTTTTGTGACAACCTTGACTGTGTAATCCTGAAGCAGGACCTGATTGTCCATGTCTAACAACTCGAAAAGTATTTTCATTGATACTCACGTACTCTTTCTCTCCCTCTCTCTCTTTCGCACGTGCTCGATACAACTTCATATCCTCATGCGAAGTCTGTGCTATTGTTCTAAAAAAAAACGTGCCGAATCTAAAAAAATTTGTAAAGCTTGTAAATTAATTCGTGACAACGCGGAGATCTTCCCCCGTTTAACTCTCAGACTTTATTTTTGTTTGGAAAGTTACGACAGCAACGACCCGCCTTCGTCGCGCTCGGTGACTCCGGGTTTCTTTGCGGGTGGCATTCTGATTCTAACGGAAGGCTTCCATTTATAGAACGTCGACGGGAGGTTCTCGTGCGTCGCGTGAGATAACGATTCAACGCTGTAAATCGATAGGCGAGCAAGACTTCGCCGTTTAACTCGCAGGTAACCAGCGGTAGAATCTTGAAGACGGACATTATTATGTTCCCGGCTTTGAGGATTAAAAAGTTTCCGCGATACCGTTCTTCGAATTCGAACGGCAAACTCATGTTTAATAATGCAGATTCGAGAAAGAGGCTGTCATACAATAATTACAAACTAATTAACAACTATTGTTTTGTGGTACTTGTGTGTTTACGGTACCCTAGGCACGTTGTAAAGACTCTCTTTATTATGCCAAGCTACAGTCGTTATCTCTATAGGGATATTAAACTGTAAATCTTCCGGTGCCACTCGCAAACAAACTCCAATTACATAAGACAAATAATTGCACTATTAAACAATTGTACTAGAACTTTATTAGATCTTTCTTTCTCGTTTAATGCTACAATCGAGTCAACAACAGCGACTCGCTTACTCGGAATTAATTAACACAGACTTCTTATGCAATTCGACCAAGATAGTCCGCGCGAGATGACGAATGATATGCTAAATTAACTCTTCAAATACGAACGTATAATTAGTAATAATTTTTTTAGAACAACGAGGACGTAAAAAAAATAGTCTCAGATGTCTTTTCATCAAACGTCGAAGAAATAATAAATCTCTAACCAGCAGAGCTTCGTCAAATAAAAAATATATAAATATGTTGTATATTTTTAATCGTTACTATTTCGCTCAGTATTTGAAACGTTAATTAAGTTTCACGACGAATCAGCTGATATAGATACTCCATTTTGTGATAACGATATCTGTCGATATTTTAAAAACTACAAGATACCCACAACAAATATACACACACATACATACATTGAAAAAAATGTACTAAATTTTAATAAATATTTGAATAGTACTAACTAAATGTTTAGTAAGTGTAATATATATATATATACATATACATTAATTTGATACAAGAACGTTAATTTGATTTAAGTATTTGTTTCTATTGAGTAAATAATTATTTACTGTAAAGTTTAGTTTGTACTATTTAAATAAATATTTATTAAAATTTAGTAAATTTTTTCAATATATATATATAAATTCAATATATATATATATAAAAACATAATTTGTATGTATATTTGTTGTCCAATACTTCAAAATATACACAAAGAATCGTATCGGCCTTACACTACGATTATCGCCAATGATATTTTTCAACGGTTCGGGATACCGATAATCATCGTTAACACAAAACAGAGAACCACTACAGAAAAGGAACATTGCGTATGGCTTCTGAACGCGTGAATGACGCATTAATGGTTATTTCTACCAACGTAGATTAACTTTAATCTCGGTTTGACTTACTTTTTATCTACTTCTAGTTTCTACACTACAATTATGCTTGTTTCTATCACAATGTAGATTAACTTCAATTCAACTTACTCTTCATCTTTTTCTAATTCCTAGAACTAGAAAAAAGTTAGTTGAACCAAGATTAAAATTAAACTACATTAGTAGAAACGGGCATCAGATAGAAAGATGAAAAGTAGAACCGAGATTATAGTTAATCTACATTGACAGAAATAGGCATTAGTCACGTCGAGACGACGTTGAGTTCGCCAGCGATATTTAATAAATGATCTCGAGATACCGACGCGATGTAGAACAGTACGGGAAAGGAACATCTCGCGTGCGCGTTTCAAAACGGTGGTGAAGCGAGTCGAGCGGGGCGCGGGCCGCGTTGGCGGCCATAAGTCTTCCACGTAGGTCCGTCCGCGAGCGTCGATACAGCGGCGAGGCGAAGCTATCGCGCAGCGCCGACAACGCAGCGTATTTACAAACACGGCCATGTAAGGCGAGTTCTCGCCTAATTGTATTTACACACACACACACATGCACGCACGCACACTCCATCCAGTCATCCTGGGACTCCCACGCGGTCGAGCGAAGGAAACGCGTTTTCACAGGAATACCCCTTTTTATCTTCCTTCTTCAACATGAAATTCTGATGCGATCCGCTTTCGAGACACTTTCCGTCCCGAAATCACAAAAGAAGCGACCCTACCTAAAATCTCGTTCCCAAAGAGAATAAAGGAAAAAGACCAGGTCGAAAAAGACCGCGGGATAAAGCGGCATTGTTCACGACGAGAACGTAGGAACGTCCGTAAAAGTTTTTCCCAAGCGTCGCCGTCGGGCGGCTCACAGTTCCAGAGGGTCGTACATCGACGGTAACGGCTCGTCCTCGGAATCGTAGAAGTACGGTTTCCTGCGGTATCCACCACCGGACCGTCGCACGTCGTCCTCGTCGTTGACCACGTCGTCCTCGTCCACTTCCGCGCTCGAGAGTTCGTCGAGGTTCTCCTGCAGCCTCTTGACCGCCTCCTTGATGAGGCCGCCTTCGCGCAGCAGTTCCTGAAGGACCTCGTACGGGTCATCGTTCACCCTCCTCTCGCTCCTCTTCAAATGGTTGTGATAATGGTGGTGATGGTGATGATGATGAGCAGCAGTCACGTGATGCTGTTGCTGCGATTGTTGTTGTTGTTGCTGGCCGTTGGATCGCAGACCGCAGACCTCGCAGCCGGCGGCCGGATCTGCCCAGGAACGCGCCGGCACCCGGTACGGCGACGGCCGATTGTTCTTGCAGCTGATACTGGACTTGGCCTTCAGACTGGACAGCCGTAGATTCTCCTTAATCTGCGACACCAGCAGGTCGACGTCGCGCGTCAGGAACGCGTCAGCCTGCGCCGCGCCGTCCGGCATCACGCCGATCAGATACGTCGTCTCCTCGGCGCTCGGCATCCTCGAGCTCTCCTCTGCGGCTCACGCTCTCGACGTTGACGCGCGAAACACGCAACGCGAAACTACGACGTGTAGTAAACAGACTGCGCAACGGGGACCTGACGGTTTCTCTCGAAGCTCTATGTTTTTGTCCTCTCTCTTTCTAATGCCAGAGATTACTATCTCTCTCTTCACGCCGACAATCCAAGTTCCATCTCTCTCCTTCCTTCTTTCGGTGTTTACCTGAGCCGAGGAGGTATCCCATGCAATAATAAACAGCCTGAGGTAGGGAGAAAAGAGAGAGAGCGCTGCACTTTCCTTTCAGAAAAACCAAAGTTCCTTTTCTCGCCGTACCAGGAAAAATCTCAGAGGGGAGACAGAGAATCCCTTTTTCCAGAAATATAGGCTATTTTCCGATTAGCGACCCAGTCTCGTCTGAATAGCAGTCGTCGCCGAGACACGTCAACAATAACACAGGCGATGTGTATATAATATATATATATATATATACATATATATATATAAGCACGACGGAATATCCGCGTACAGGCGCGTCCGTACGTAATCGGACGGGTATGATTCACTGAGCAAATACGCGGGGCGGCGATGTATCCTCTCCGCTCGCTTTCTCGAAACGTCGTCGGCGGAACGCGG